GCATACATGCATCCATCCACTCATTCATAACAAACATTGTTGCAGATTTTTTTTTTTAGTGAAAGTCGCTCAGTCATGTTCAACTATTTGTGACCCCACGGACTATACATCCATGAAATTCTCCAGGCCAGAATACTGGAGTGGGTAGCCATTCCCTTCTCAATGTGATCTTCCCAACCCATGAATTGAACCTAGGTCTCTAGCATTGTAGGCAGATTCCTTACCAGCTGAGCTACCAGGGAAGCCCTGTTGTAGAAAAAGGCTGCAAATGTTACATAGGCAACTATAGTAACTGTTTTCAAGGAGCTAATATTTTAGAGAAAAAAAGACAACAGTAAAGCAAGTAAACAAGATAATTTCAGATAGTGGCAAGTGCTATGAGGAAACTAAAGAGAGGTGATATCATAAAGGATGAGGGGGGAGTGAGCTCCTTAGACTGGACAGAGAGCGAAAGTCTCTCTGAGAATGTGACATTCTCAAGACAAAATTACAGGGTAGAGCATTCCTTATGAAATTTCAAAACACCTTGAATGAAAAATATCCTTAAAACTTCCAAACAAAAGCTGGTCACAGAGAGAAGAGAACTTGGACTGAAATTAAATTTGTTAAGTATCCTCAGCATTAAATGACAGATAATAGGCACTTCCCTGGTGATACAATGGATAAGAATCCACCTGCCAATGCAGGGAGACATGGGTTCAATCCTTGGTCTGGGAAGATTCCGCATGCCAAGGGCAATTAAAACCTATGAGCAGCAAGTACTGAGTCCATGCGCCCAAGAGCCTGTGCTCCGCAACAAGAGAAGTCACCACAATGAGAAGCCTGTGCACCTCACCGAAGAGCAGTCCCTGCTCACCACAGCTAGAGAAAGCCCATTTGCAGCAAAAAAGACCCAGTGCAACTCAAAAATAAGTAAATAAAAATGCTAGATGACCAAAGAATGGCTTCAAAGTTCTCAGAAAAACAAATGTTTAACCTATAATTCTATACCCACTCTAACTACCATTTAATTGTGAAAGAATAATAAAGACATTTTAATAAACGTACAGACTGAGAAAGCTTTTCTTACCGTGAACCCTTCCCTAGGAAGTTATCCAAGGACTTTTTTCTGGCAAAAAAAGAGTTAACAAATAAATAACTACATAGACAACTACCACTGGGTACAATTGAGATCTATGAAAGGAAGTTCATGGAAATAAGTCATGTAAAAGAGCATTCAATCCAACTAAAACAAGATTATGGAGAGTTTCTGGAAAAAGAAGGATTTAATAAACCAGAAAGTATAATTGAGAACTTATATATATGGGCAAGATAAAGGTACTTAGTAGGAGAAAGAACAGGCCTTTGGAACTCAAAGACAAACAACACAAGAAACTCATGGTCCAAATATGATACAGTTTTAAGTAGGTTCCCTTTCCCGACCTACTTAGTAGATGACTACTTCTTCCTCCAACCCTATATTTTCTGGGGGAAATGAACCAAAGCCTCTGTACTTAAGAGCACCACATGAAGGAGCCCTTTGGTGAGATGCTAGGATCACGATAAAGGAATTTGATAAAATTCATTTGCAAAATGAACAGTAGGTCCCGGGCCCATTCCAGTCACCACCTCACCCCCAGCTCTAGAATGCCAGCAGCTGGACTTACAACCTTGAACCCACCACAACACAGCCCCAGCCAAGAGATAGAAGCATCCTTCTCTTGAGGAGTTGAAGCACTTCAGAAGACTTCAGGTTCTGACAGCAAACACCCCAGTGAAAATGCCAGCTGTCCCCATGCAGGTACCCTATGGTGAGATCCACCAAATGACAAGCCCTACCTTCAGGCACAGAGCCCTACTTCTCAGCCTTAATTTTAAATTCACACTTTTTAATACTGAGAGAAATCTCAGGCTGACTTGAAATTTGAGGGAAACTTTCAATAGAAGGGAGACAGCAAAATAGAAAGCAGGCACTCAGAGGATACAGACAATTCAGGGAGGAACAGAAACTAAATAATGTTGCAGAAATAAGAGGAGCTATCCCATCCATGAAGCAAGAAGACTAGGAGCAGGAAACAATCAAAAATCAAGAGAGAACTTTGGATACTGAAAACCACAATAGCTTTAAAAAAGAATTCAGCAGAAGGCTGGGAAAATAAAGTTGAAGAAATCTTTCCCAAAAAACAGGACCAAAATTAGATATAAAATAGGTTGTAAAGACTAAGAAAATGAGAGAATCAGTGAAGGAGAAATAAGAAAAAAAAGCACCTGTGTTTATCTTTCTGGCTTACTTCACTCTGTATAATGGGCTCCAGTTTCATCCATCTCATTAGAACTGATTCAAATGTATTCTTTTTAATGGCTGAGTAATATTCCATTGTGTATATGAACCAACTAATAAAAATAAATGGAATAAATAAATAAAAATTAAAAAAATAAACTTTGGAGGAAAAAATATCAACATTGAACCTTTTTAAAAAGTTAAAAATGAAAATGAAAAACATGATCTCCAGACATTTAAAGTTCATCAAGTGCTTAGAGGAAGAAAAAAAAAGACCCACCCCAAAGTGTATCATGGTGGAATTTGGGAATACTGGGAATAAACAGAAACTTCCAGGAAGGAAAAGTAAGACACATACAAAGGACTGGGAAAAAGAAAGGCCAGAACTCCCACAACAGCATTAGAAATTAGACAACAATGGAATGAAAACTTTAAATCTTTTAGTGAAAGTGATTTACCCAATCCAAAATTCTTTACCTAGCCAATTTGGTAATAAAATGTAATTTTTAAAAAAAAGGCTATTTCATGAAAAATCTCAAAAAAAGTAACCACCTTTACAGGCTTCCTGTAGCCACTGTGCTCTGATAAAATGAGGGAGTAAGACAAAAGAGAGACCTTCACAGATCCCAGAAAATCGAGGATCAGTACAGAGAGAGACCTCTAGGATTCCCGGGTGATAGTGGAGCAGCAGGCCCAGAGAGATCCCATACAGATGACTCCAAGGGGTTTCCTGAGTTCATCAGATGGACAAAAAGTAATATTGAGATTTCTTGACTCCTCAGAGGATATGGGAGGCTAGATTCAGAATCAAAGAAACAAAGGAAATGAAAATAAAGTGATGATTTAATTCCAGGAAAATCACTGCTATACAAAAGAGGAAATCTAATCATGATACAGTGCTTGAACCTCAGCTGCTAACAATACTGTCATAATCATAACATGAAAATATCAAAAAAGAATTTGAGAGCAACTTGGGAAGAAAATACTAAACTTCTCATTTACCAAGACAGGAAGTCAAAAATAATATCTCAATTTGGTTAATTTATGCAGTATGCTTTTTTTTTTTTTTTGGCAGTATGCTTTAAAAATACAGAGGTAAATACCAGAAGAGAGAGCTAAAAAGAACTTTAAATTATCATCCCTGGGAAGCAGGGTTAGTCAGGAGACTGCTGGGGTTTTCTTAATAATTTTAAAAATTCTATTTATGTTTGCCAATTGTAGTAAAAATAATTTGATGGAAATTATTCTTAATGTATTGCTGCTGCTAAGTCACTTCATTCATGTCTGACTCTGTGCGACCCCCTAGATGGCAACCCACCAGGCTCCCCCGTCCCCGGGATTCTCCAGGCAAGAATACTGGAATGGGTTGCCATTTCCTTCTCCAAGGCATGAAAAGTGAAACATGAAAGTAAAGTCGCTCAGTCGTGTCCGACTCTTAGCGACCCCATGGACCACAGCCTACCAGGCTCCTCCGTCCATGGGATTTTCCAGGCAAGAGTACTGGAGTGGGGTGCCATTGCCTTCTCCGTCTTAATGTATTAGTGATGACTAATAACAATAGCTAACTTATCTCTGAGCACTTATTCTGTGCCAGGAGACCTGAGAGCTTTACACATTTCTTGTGTAATCCTTGCCTATGATCATTAAGTCAATAGACCAAATGTTTGGGTCCCTGAAAAACACGTGTTGAAAATTAATGCTCCAAGTTGCTGATATTTGGAGTTGAGGTCTTTGGGAGGTGACTCAGTCATGAGGGTGGGGCTCTTACAAGTAGAATTAGTGCCCTTATAAAAAGGACCCCAGGGAGAAGCCTCACCCCCTCCACCATGTGAGGACACAGCAAAAGACAGCCATTTATGATCCAAGAAGTAGGCCCTCACAAGACACTGAATCTACTAGCACCTTGATCTTGGACTTCCCAGCTCTGGAACTGTGAGAAATAAGCTCTTTTTGTTTCTAAGTCACCATAGAAACATTTACAGCAGCCTGAACAGATGTGTAAGTCATACCTCAGTTTTGCCATCTGTAAAATCAGGATGATAATAGTATCTACCTAATTAGTGCTGCTGGTGAGGATGGATGAGTTAATATATATAAAGCATTTAGAAGAATGCAATAGTGTTAATATAAGGATTAGCTATACATTGAACATCATCAACATGATCACTGGCACAGAAAGATCTCCAACCTGTATTGTTACATTAAAAAAAAAAAATAAGTGCAGAAAAGTATGTATAGGATGCTACTTTCTTGGATATAAATCAGGGAACACTGAAAAGACATATTCACAGTTTCTTGTATAAGGAATATCCTTGAAATGATACACAAGAAATGAATTAAAGTGGTTCCCTGGTTTGTTTTTGGGGAGAAGTGGGATGGAGGATTTGGGGTACACTGTATTCTCATTGAACTTTGAACTTTTTTTGAAATTATGTGACTGTATTACCTATTCAAATCTTTACATTAATAACAGTTTTCATTAAGTCAACAAGCCTTTTTTCCTCACAGACTGTAATCCAAATGCAATGGGAGACACTTCCAGGGTCCAAAGAGACACACACAACTGAGAGACTGGGGTCTCTGCCCATCGAGGGTGCAGCACCACCAGGACAAAGATAGAGATGCAGTGATCCCTGCACAAAGGAGGGGCACATGGTAGACCTGGGGACCCAAACAGCCCTGGGTTTCGCAATTAAATCACAACCAGGATGAGAGGAGACGGCTCTTCCAAGACACTTACCCTGTCGTGTAGGGGATGTTTATGCCCCCTAGATTGATACTTTCACATCCAACAATAAACAGGGTTGAAAAGCACAGTAAAGACACACCACTGCAGATCATCGCTAGTTTTGCAGATTCTCTTGCACCGAGCTTCAATTTTTTTATAATGTAGCCTCCCAGGACAATGCCAACACCGGCACTAGGGACAATGATGACGCCTGGAGAGAAGAAGGGAAGGACAGGATTAATTTGAAGTAATGTACACTATTTTGTTTTCTAAGTATTCTGTTTCTACTTACTTATTAGTGCTAAAGCAAAGAATTTTTAAAAATACTGTAATCAATAAATCTTCAATATTTGTGATTTTATAGTAAGGTTTACTTTCAACAAAGAATTCATACCTAGAATATTGCAGAACTTAACAGAGACATAAAAAGAAAGACAAGCAAGTGAGTAAAACTTAAATGGCTCTTGACTAAGAAGGAAATTCTGCTGACCCATTAAGATATAAAGATGCTCATCCTCTTTCTCAGAGGGAAATACAAATTAAAGCCACAATGAAAGCATATGCCATGTTAACCATACTGGTAAAAATTGAAAAGTCTGACAATACCATATATAGGCAAAAGATACAGAGCAATGGGCATGCTCTGCATGGCTGGTGGGATATAATTGTGACAGATACTCTGCAAGACAGCTTGGCATTATCTGCTAGAGTTGAAGATACACACACCCTGTGACAGGCAAGTCCATTACTAGATCCATACCCTGAAGAAATTCATGCACACAGGAACCCAAAGAAGTTTACAAAATATCTAAGCACCACAGTAGCTCCAAACTGGAAATAAGGCAAACGTCCATTAAAATACATCGTATGGAGTAAATTCATGTACTGAAATGCTGCTTTACAACAATAAAAGTTAAGACACATAATTACATATCATTGCAATGAAGGAAGTAAAACACAACAAAAAACACAGCCTGCCTGTATTTGTATAAAAAGTTCAAAAACAGGTAAAACTAAATGTTGGTTTGGAAATGAATATACAGGAAGCACAACTATGAATAAAATCCAGGAAGTAAAAACTGTCATAAGGGCCAAGATGGCAGGGGGATGGGTGGGATCCAGAAACGATACAGGAGCTCCTAAAGAACTGAAAATGCTCCTTCCCATGACCTGGATAGTCACTGCACAAGGGTTCACTTTATGATCATTCATTATCTCTAAGGATTTTTTTTTAAGGATAGTCAATTCACAATGTGATAATTTCAAGGGTAGAGCAATGTAATTCAGTTATATGTGTATATATAGAGATGGAGAAGGAAATGGCAACCCACTCCAGTATTCTTGCCTGAAAAATCCCTTGCACAGAGGAACCTGGTAGGCTACAGTTCATGAAGAGATATAGATATATAGATTCTTTTTCATATTCTTTTCCATCATGGTTTATTACAGGATTTCTAATATGGTTCCCCCTATGCTATACAGTAGGACCTTGTTGTTTATCTACTTTATATATACTAGCGTATATATGTTAATCCCAACCTCCTAATCTATCTCTCTCCGACTCTTTACCCTTTGGTAGCCATAAATTTGTTTGCTATGTCTGTGAGTCTATTTCTGTTTTGTATATAAACTCATTTGTATCATACTTTATTTTTGGCCGAGCCAGGCAGCATGCAGGAACTTACTTCCCAGATCAGGGACTGAACTCATGCTCCCTGCAGTGGGAGGACAAAACCCTAATCACTGGGCCTCCAGGGAATTCCCTGTATCATATTTTAGACTCCACATATAAATTATTTAAGGTTTGATTAATGCACTTCTGTGTCCATTAGATTTCACAGTTAAAAAAAAAATTAAAAATTAGTTATATTGTTTGCCCCGTGAAACTTACAATCTAAAAAAGAAACAAACAAAGCAAATTAAAGTATGATAGCCTGGCAACCCACTCTGGTATTCTTGCCTGGAGAATCCCATGGACAGAGAGCCTGGCAGGCTACAGTCCACAGGATCGCAAAGAGTTGGACACGACTGAAGCGACTGAGGGCAAGCAGGCACAAGATAATTTTACCAAGGGCAGGGAGAAAATAGGGGATGAAGCACTTGAGTCTTCCCTGGGAGAAATCAGGGAGGACTTCACAGAGTGGCAGTATTTGAGCTGACACCCAGCAGATGCTGCCCAATGTGCCGGCACAGAGAGAATATCCTAAGGAAATCTGTGCAAAGGGGCATAAGATAGCAGAATTGAGGATTCAGAGTTCAAGCTATGGGACTGTGGAATGCAAGCTACTGGGGCGAGGCGGGGCCTGGGCAAGAGACCAAGCCCACATGGGTAAGGCCAAGCAAGACCATGATGGATCATAGAGAGGAGCTCAGGGTGTACCTCTAGGCAACGGGAAGCCACCAAGGAACTCTAAGCCAGGGTCAAAAAGGATGGGAGGTGGTGCAACAAAGATCACAGAGAGACGCAGAGAGACGCAGTCAACATCAGACACTTGGTCAGAAGCAAACTGCTAAGGTCCACGTTAGCCACGGTCAGCACCCACACTGACAATCATGAGCTTCGGAGGGAACGGGGACACACAGAAGGTGGCAAGGATCCAGAATACAAGGAGAAAAGGTGTGGAGGAGCACCGCTCAAAAGCCCCATGGTAGACATACCAAGTGTGATGGGCCCGGGGACAAGCAGGGAGAAATGCCTCACCGGTAGTCCCGGTGCTGAGAGCCCAGGAAGAGCTGGCATTTGGGGCATTCAGAACTGGTGGCAGAATTCATGGCATTTATGGAATGTTCCAACAAGAGCACCTTCCTCTGTTCTACTGACTGAATAAAGCTGAAAAGGCAGAGGAAGATGAAGCCTGAAAGGAGATCTCAGTAAGAGCAATTTTAAGGGAAGGCAGAAGCCAGGCTGCAATGGGTTAAACCATCAGTCGTGAGGATTTAGAGACTGGAATTCAAACTCTTCGTAGAATTCAGACTCTAAAGGGAAAGGGGGCATGGGTTTAGAGTGGGGCCCTGAATATTCATTGGAAGGACTGATGCTGAAGCTGAAGCTCCAATACTTTGGTCACCTGATTCAAAGAGCCAGCTCATTGGCAAAGACATTGATGCTGGGAAAGACTGAGGGCAGGAGAAGAAGGGGACGACAGAGGATGAGATGGTTGGATGGCATCACCGACTCAATGGACCTGGGTTTGAGCAATCTTCGGGAGATGGCGAAGGACAGGGAAGCCTGGTGTGCTGCTAGTCCACGGGATCACAAAGAGCACCTGAACAACAAGGCAGACTGAGGAACTGAACAATAAGGCAGAGCTGGGCCTTGGGGAATTTCGCTTGTTTGTTTACACATGCAGGGGACTTAAGCATAGTTGATCTCACAAAGAGATCAAAAAGAAATGGCAGATTGAACAGGGAGGGAAAAGGTTATCTAATGCTAAGGCAAGGTCTATGAGAAGGAGAATACAGAATTAAAAGCACACATGATCAGATTAGCCCTGGGAAGAGAGAGGCCCCTGCAACTGAGGCCTCTCAGATTTGGGAGGGGTGAGAGTGGGGGATACATCAGTGGGTGGATGATAGCTCCTCAATAGTTTTTCTGTTGTTGTTGTTATTTTGGAAACATCATACGATACATGTTGTAATAAAACAACATATAAAGGACCGAAACCCCACAGATTACATTCTGGCACAGTTCACTCCATCTTTTTTTCTATGTTATTTTCCCCATCAATAATTGATAACAGGGACTTCCCTGGTGGCAAAGACTCTGCACTCCCAACACAGGGGCCCAGGTTCAATCCCTGGTCAGGGAACTAGATCCCAAATGTGGCCACTAAGACCTGGTGCAGCCAGATAAATAAATACTAAAAAAAATTTTTTTTAATAAAAAGAATTGATAACGTGTAGATTCTTTATGATGTTGTTCAGTTCCTCAGTTGTGCCCGATCTCTGTGACCCCACGGACTGCAGCACGCCAGGCTTCCCTGTCCTTCACCATCTCTAGGAGTTTGCTCAAACTCATGTCCATTGAATTAGTGATGCCATCCAACCATCTCGTCCTCTGTTGTCCCCTTCTCCTCCTGCCTTCAGTCTTTCCCAGCATCATCAGGGTCTTTTTCAATGAGTCAGCTATATAGATTCTTTATGTATATATATATATATATATATATATATATATATATATACATAATATACATACATATATATACATACACATATATATTATATAGCTTTGGTTTGGGAAGAGCTATGGAGAACTTTAAATATAGCCAAAGACTGGAATAAGCACTGTGGGAAAGAGAGCGCTAAATAAGAATATGTACTTGGCTTTGCAAGTGGAGAACTGTGGGTCCAGGTGATACTAGATTTCAGAAGTCTGCAGCTGCATCGATGTTCATGCTTTGATGGCTTGCTCCTGCATGGTCAATAGCCCATGTGAAAGGTCAGGGGGTGGGTATTAATAGATTAATCTAAAGTCTGAGCTTTGCATGGGTTGGCAGGAAAAAAATCGTGTTCACTTGTAATCCCCACCACAGTCCTGACTTTATAAAACTAGTAATGGCTGTTTGACAGATGAGGAAGTGACTGGCCCAACAGTGCACACACAGGGGAAGAAGAGACAGATGGAAACTGAGGTTCCTGCCTCCCAGCCCAGCCCATCCTCCACAGCACCACAGATGCTGCTCAGAATAGCGGTATCTGAAATCTTGTAAGTAACCAGACTACAGCTCTGAGTTGCTTAACAAACTTTCCTCCTTATTAAAGAACAGTAAAAATTACATCAACATGAATAAAAAGCCTTACCTTTAGAGTGCATCCATTAATAAAATCACTATTTTAGTTGAGCAAAGTTTATCTTTATAGATACCGTGCTAGGCCCCAGGATAGCAACAAAACAAATCCCCACACTAACAGCTGAGTCATAATTTAAAGTGAAAGTCACTCAGTCATGTCCGACTCTTTGCGACCCCATGGACTTCTCTAGTCCTTGGAATTCTCTAGCCCAGAATACTGAGTGGGTAGCCTTTCCCTTCTCCAGGGGATCTTCCCAACCCAGGGATGGAACCCAGATCTCCTGTATTGCAGGCAGATTCTTTACCAACTGAGCTGCATAATTTAAAAGCAGTATAATTGGTTTGCCTGTGCATCCTAATTAGTATTCAGGGGTGTTTTTTAGTAATCAGTTCTTTAAAACAGAAAGTTTGTCATTAGCCA